AACAAATGGATTTAAGGGTATTTCAGGATACATACAAAAATATAAATCAATGGAACAGAAGAGAGTCCAGAAATAGACCCACATATATGTGGCCAGTTGACTTTCAGCAGAGTGCCAAAGCAGTTCAAGGAAGAAAATCTTTTCAAAATACAGTATTGGGATAACTGGATACTCATGAGAGAAAACAGTGAACATTGATTCTCACCTCATACCCTACATAAAGACTAATTTGAAATTTATCACATTTCTGAATATAATCAAATCAACAGCCTTCCAATCTGACATGATATAATATTGCTGATTTGGCATTTACTTAAAAGTTAAACATCTTCTGTATGACCTAGTCATTCTACTTTGAATTATTTACCCAAGACAAGTAAGAATATATGCCCATAACAAGAATTATATTATATATACATGTTTATAGCAGCTTTAGTTCTAATAACCCAAACTGGAACAATCCAAATGTCTACCTATAGGTGAAGGGAAAAATAAAATGTGGTATATCCATACAGTGAAAATACTATTTAGCAAGAAAAAGGAACATAGTGCCGATACATGCAATACGACATCATGGATACATCTCACAGTCAGTATGTTAAGGGAAATAAACCGGATGCAAAAGTATAAATACCGTATGACAGATACAAACTATAGTGACAAAAAGCAGATCCATGATTGCCTTAGTCAGAGGTAGATTGTAGATTTTGGATATAATGGGATTGATTGATGGTTGGTTTTTGTCCTTTGCCCATGATTTTTGTCTTTTGTCAGACTGCAAGGTCATTGATGAAGGGGAGTCATGTAGGGGAGGGCTAAACAAGAACACTAGAAGCACCTTCCATCTTCTTAACAAAGAGATGGAAATGATTGGGTCCCCAGTATTTCTTTAAGCCTAGGCTTCTTAAAACAGGCCAGTGGAAAAGGCACAAACAAATGAGAAGTTTCCTTGAATTGCTGTTGCTGTCCTGGCCCACCATGGAGCTCAGGATCATCTTCATCAGTATTTAGCTTGAGCAGACAAGCTACCATCAGATGACACTGACTCATGGCCAGCATCTGGGTAGATTTGTATCACATAGCCACCCCAGAATTCCGGGTTGGCTGCCTGGGCAAGCCTGCTTGTTTCATTCTTCTTGTTATCCTTCACCCTGTATTTTACACATCTCCCCTCTGACATCATGGAAGGGTTAGGCTGTAATTGCCAGTATCTTGGCTGATGAAACTAGACCCCTACACAAATTACAGGATCAGGCTGTCCCCAGAGTTTTGTTCCGAATACTTAAATGCCAGAAGAGTTTTTTTTTTTTTTTAAAGATTTTATTTATTTATTTGAGAGAGAGAGAGAATGAGAGAGAGCACATGAGACGGGGGAGGGTCAGAGGGAGAAGAAGACTCCCTGACTAGCAGGGAGCCCGATGCGGGACTCGATCCAGGGACTCCAGGATCATGACCTGAGCCGAAGGCAGTCGCTTAACCAACTGAGCCACCCAGGCACACCTGCCAGAAGAGTTTTTAGCAGAAAGGATAATGACCTAGAATTCTGCCCTAGCTGGGGTGGAGTTTATATATAAAGTCAAGAAAAAGATATTCTCATAAATACACTAGCACAGACAGTGTACCACCCACATCTGCTTCCTGAAAAAGTTACTCAGCTATAATCCAGTTTGTTTAGAAGAACTAATAAGAGAGAATATTTGCATCTTAGTGTGGGTCTGCCATGATGCCTTATTTCCACTTAACTTTTATAATGTGACAAATGGGCAAAGAAAACAAATATATACTTCATAAAGAAGGAATACAGGTGTCTAATAAACAGATTCAACCTCATTGTTCAAGCTCATTAGTTGTAGGAGATGTATTCATTTAATGAATATATATTGAGCACCTACCACAAGCACTGGATTACATATGGGGGATGTAATAATGAAAAAGATAGAGTCCTATCTCCAGGTGCTTAGAATTTGATAACAGATGCAGTCAAGTAGACAGTTATTGAATAATATGTGATATTTACAAAAACAATAGTGAAATGCTACTTTTGCCAATGAAATTGGAAAAGTTAATGATAAATCTTTAGTATTAGCAAAGGCACAGGGAACTTCTTCACGTACTATAGGGAGAAACATAAACCTACAGTCCTTTTGAGTTCTACAGTATAGGAAAAAAAATTTTGCTTATCTTTTACCTATATTATCAGATTTGAGAGATGAGTCTAAGGAACTAGTTTATATTAAAATTTATGAATAATAGAAGTATATGCTTAGATAATATTTACTATGTGTGAGGTATTGTTCTAAGCACTTCACATGTATGAACTTAATATCCTCACAAACGTCTCTTGGATGGATAGTATTGTTGTTCCTTTTTTACAGATGGGGAAGCTGAAGTCCAAAGAGGAATGTTATATAATATGAACAGGATAGAAGTCTGGAAGGCCATACATTTACAGAAACTTTCCAAGTTTCTCTAAGTAGAGGGTTATAGGTTATTTTAATTTATTTTTATACTTCTTTAATTTTTTAAAATTTTGATAACGAACATATAAAAGTGCTATTTTAATACACAGTGCAGTAGTTTTTAGTGGCTTTAACATAGTTGGAGATGAGAAATCCCCATCTGTGCTGGTAGGTTGAAATTGAAATGTCCCTATTAAGCACTGATGAAATATGGATTTGATTTATTCTCTTTGCTTTTTCAACATTAAGAAATCGTTGTACAGCCATTAAAGACCTCTTGCTTCTGATTATCTTTATTTCTGACGCCCAGATAATTAAGTTGGGATTGCATCGGTATACTACTTCGGGGGAGAAAATCTGTTGAAAGATTGAATGGAAATAACTTTTGACTGTAAATAGGGATGAAATCTTTATCTTAAACTATTGTTTTTCATTCTTAATAAATTCAAGGTTTTCAGTGGTTCTGAGGAAGATTTGTATGAAATAAATTTTTATGACCTTTGGGCCAGAATAGATTCTCTCCTCTTTTCCTCCTCTACCTCCCCTGTCTACTTCCTATGTTTGATGAATGTTTGTGAACTAACTACTGGTAATGTTAACATCTATGCCTGTGATCTAGATTCATTTCCTTTTTTTTTTTTCTTTCTCTTAGCTTTATGCTAAAGAAATGGATGTTGGTGGGGCGCCTGGGTGGCTCAGTTGGTTAAGCGACTGCCTTTGGCTCAGGTCATGATCCTGGAGTCCCGGGATCGAGTCCCGCATCGGGCTCCCT